TATATGTATTTTCAGTCTCTAATTATTTTAATGTTAACTTTGCCAAACATTAAAAGTATTTGCTTTAAAAATAATTATTTATCTCTTATAAATTTAAAAATTTTATTAAAAAAATTCAAAAATTATCTTTTAAAATGAGTTTTAAACAAGTTTTGAAAAATCTTATTGAAAACTCACTTGAAAAACTAATTTTAAGTGTTTTCTTTTAATAAAATTTTAGATTTATAAGTAAAAATAATGTTTATAAAGTAAGTACTTTTTAAGTTTTATTAAATATTTTCTAAAATAGTCTTACGAAATCAGAAAGTATCTCTTAGTTTGAAGTGATAGGATCTGTATGTATATATATATATATATATATATTTTGAACAAATTTGTAAGGGACCGAATTCGAACCATTAACCAGAAGAGAGGAAATACATTTTAAACGTGATTTGACGTTATTGGGCCCGAAGGCCCATGTGCTTGATAGGATCTATATTAAACTATTAATTTTCATAAAATGACATTTCATAGCTTAGCGCAAGGTGATTCTGATTTGCATCATTAGAACTTGATATCCTTCAATGTCTAAGAAAAGTAATTTTGTAATTGAAATATTTGATTTATGAATGAATTTTTACGTAAACAAATTTGTTACTTTAGGACTAATAGCTCAACTCAACTCTCCGTAGTTCCATTAAAGAAAAAAGCAGAACATCTTATATTAAAAAGGCAGAAGGTACAACTTAGATCTTGTACTTGCAATGTTGTGGCAAGCTAGTCCCTACACTTTAAACCATGGCAAATCAGCCCCCTTGCTTCATGAAATTCTCAAAACAGCCCTTTTAGTAAAGATGATGTCATCCAATTGTTAAACCGTTCCATTGCCCATTAAAGTCTACTGAGTTGGTGTTGGTTGGGTGCTAATTGGGCAATGACAAGAACCATATTCACTTGACTTTAGTTAAAATATTATGGACAGTGATATAGTGATAATTTTTTTGTATAATTTATATATACAATTTTTATATATCATTTAATAAATAAATACATTTAATATCATAAATTTCAAATGAATAAATTAGTCAATCATTTAAATAATATATAAAGTTATACCAAAAAATAATATAAAAAGTTAAAAGTTATATCCTTAAATAATTTTTCAAACATTACATTGCCATGTTAGCTAACCCAGGTCTTGTGAATTTGGTCCATATCATTGCCCAATCAACACCAACTCATCAGAATTTAACGTGCACTGGAATAGTTTAATGATTGGATGATGTCATCTTTACTAAAAGGATTGTTTTGAGGATTTCATGAAGTAGAAAGGCTGATTTGCTATGGTTTAAAGTATAGGGACTGACTTGCCACAATGTTGCAAGTATAGGGGCCAAATTGATTCTTTTGTCTATTAAAAATATTAAAATAACTAATCATAATGATTAAATGTGTAGACGTAATGTAAAATTCAATTGTATTAAATTTAGCTTGTGACTACTATTAAACATTTTAATATTTTTAACGCTAGCTAAAATATCTTATTTTTCTTTTTTCTTGTTGGAAACAAGAATACAATTACACCCCCAAGATGAAAAAAAGCAGCCCCAGAGAAAACACATAAAATACACAGTGAAACAAGAAAGATACGGATTTGAACTTCTAGCTATAAGAACCAGTGGGAAAGATGCACCTGGACTCCAGAAGGCAACAACCGAGAACGAAGAGTCCAAAACTCAGGCCAATGAGCTACGACCCATGAGAACAATAGTAAGAGAGGTAATACTAACTACTAATTAAGGGCGCAAAAAAAAAAAAACCATTATTATATATCCATACCCTTTTTATTTCATTACAGAGAAAGCGAAGACTAACCTTTGGCTATCTTGCAGGTCAAAATTAAAGAAAAAAGTGCCATGGCGATTCTTTCGCGGAAATGTTGAAGACGCGGAGGTAGGAAAGGTCTAAAAAAATTAAAATATACTTAAATTAACGCGTCTGATGTTGAAAAATGAAGTGGATGGAACCAACCAGGGGGAAACTACCGCCCAACTATGGGGTATTAATTAATGTTGCCTTTTTTTTTTCTTTTCCTTTTTTTCCTTTATATGTGGACGATGATCAAGAATTAATTTGTAAGAGAAGAAACCACTTTGATTCACCATATGGCGATTTCTTTGTCACGCTTGCAAGATTTGCTGGATTCGAATGGAAGGATTTTGATGCAGATGGTTCTGTTGTTTTATCCGGCAGTCACAGTGCCTTCTATTGTCCGGACAATACTCCTGTTCAATTGGGTTATAGAGAAGGTGAATCATCAAATCAAATGCCTTCAGAGTTGGATTGTTGTGGTGATGAGCAAAATACAGGAAGCTCTCATGTTGTTTTGGCAGTCAACAATCAGGCCTCTACTGGATCCTATTGTTGAGAAGATGAACAGTCTGTCAGAAGCTCTCAAGATGTATCTCACCAATGATGCGGTAATGGGTCAACCAACGGTCAAGCTGATCTGTAAATTTGCCCTATTATCTGCAAAAATTCTTTCGCAAGATTCAGAGTTACGTCTTAAATATGATAAAAGTGGGAAAATAACGGCGTGTTTCGCCCGCCCTTGCTTATTCTTGGTAGCATTTTCAGAGTCTTATGGTAAAAAACTCAAAATACTTTATCGAAGGTGGGGCTGCACAGCAAATTCAACATCAAACTTCACCTGGTTTATTCTAGCGCTTCCCTTTCAAACATACTATGGTAATTCCTTAAAGAGCCTCGGTGTTGCATTCTGCCTGACAATTTTTAATCTAAGTCTTTCGGTGGTATTACGGTTACCTACAGACTTCGGGTTCTTTGGTTTCATCATAGGAGTTGTTGGATCCATCACTTACAGTCGCTTCGGATTGAACTTTCCCACTTGGATAGTCGCTTGCATTTGTTATCTTATATTCTGTTTAAAGAGCTGGTTGGAGAAGCACTGGTTGGATTTTGAAGAAGATCTGCCATTACCGTCTACATGTACCATTGGAAGCGCCTGCTTGATTAGGCGTATCCCACAATCGATCCTTTTTCTCGCCTTGTCATGTGCTCGCGATGATATTCGACCACAACTACTTCAGCGTATCAGTTGGTACATCAAGGTAATTCTTTGCGGCATATGGGGCGCGGATGGTCTCAGAAGGGGCGCACCTAAAGATGATCGTTTACCACCTTACACCAGGTTTACCCGTGGAACTCATTATGCGTACTATAGATTTATGATTTGTTCGTTGGCTTTAGATTTCTTATATGTTTTGGGAATTTCTGTTTCCACTTATGTCCACTGGCCGAGTATAACCGCGATGGTGTCAGCTGAGATGTGTTTTTATGCGTGTAGGTATATGGGTCATATTTGATATCTAACTTGAAAATTTTAAGTACAGTTTTTTACATTTGATACTAAAATACTTGAAAATCCTATACTTGGTATCTAATCCCACGTACACCAAGTAATTTGTGAGTATATATTTGTGTAATTAGTTTAAAAAAGAAGAAGTCTTATATAAGTTGTTATTGTTACATATGTGATTTATTTGGTTTTTAAACTCTACTTTTACTTTTATTTTTGTGTTTTATTAATTTGATTTTTAAAAATTATTGTTATTATATAGATATTAAATATAATAAATACATATAAATTTTCAATTATATAAATACAAAGAACATATTAGTTAAACAAATTCATGAAATAGCACTTGATCTTTCGGATCGAGTGGCATCCTGTCACATCAAAGTGCATCTCCTCTTTTCTCTTGAGCGGGTTCGAACCTGTCCCATGACAAATTATTCAAAAAAAAAAAAAAACAAATTGATGAAACAAGTAAAATAAGCAATTTTGAACTGCTGCATTTATTATTTGATTTGATATTTATGAGTATACTATTTTTATATTTATTATTTACCAAAATTTTTCACAATTCAGGTATAATACTTAAGTAAACAAGTAAAATACTTGTAAGTAACAAGTGTACCCGTAGCTAATCTTCATCCCTACTTGTTAATCACAAGTTTGAGCTTGTTTGCTATGATTGAAATCTGAAATGGAAGTTTAGTTTGAGAGAATACAATCTAAAAGTTCTGTTTGCGAAAAGCTGAAGTGGGTTGGCAATTGGCATGGTTTTTTATAGAAGTTTTTTTTTTTTAAAAAAA